AAACAGCCCATCGTCGGGAAGAGGATGAAGAGCTCCAGCGTGGAGATTAAGTGGGGCCCGCTCACTTGGTGCTCCAGGAATTTGCCTGCGGTTTCTCTGCTCTGCTCTGCTGGGGCTGTTGTTGCGGCTTCCAGGTTCCTCCTCTGTGGATGAACCATTGGTTTCTCTAAGCAACACCAACACTACTTGTGGTGCACCCTCTGTTTTGTTTTTCTTCTTTTTTTCACTACAATTAAATTAATTGGAATTTGTATTTTAACATTTTTTCACTAAAAATTTCAATTCCTTTTTTATCATTTTACTATTTACTCTTTCGATCTATGAATTAAGGTGGCCTTGTGTGAATGGAAAGTTGATAAATTTTAGAAGAAAGCTTAGATCAAGTTTTGCTGACTTTTAAAAAAATTTGAGAGAGAATTAGAAAGTTTTATATCAAAATTGTGTAATGCCTCAAGCCCGTGATTTGAACTAAGATTTGAAATTCGAATTCGTCACCACTTGGTGAAATGTGAGACTCGAGTAGAGAGAATTCTGTACATGAATGATGAATGAACCAACTACTCATCATAATGAGGAAGGGAAGGATCTTTAGTTCATTTATACACCTTCCTTTATGAACCTTCTTTTTTTTATGTTCTCAATTATAAAAACTTCAAATTTAAGACTTAGAGCTGGTTAGTGAAAATAAAGTTGATTTGCAGAGACTGTTTTCACTATTAAAATCAACTTACATCAAGAAGGTACACAACCCTCATGGGACATCTGACAACAATACCAAAGAATTCGAATTCCAAAATTTGAGTCTAAGACGTTACAAAATTATACCTAACGTTTTGCTAATTTGCCAAGTATCATATATTTATCATCAACCAATTTTAACAACGAAGTATAATTAATAAATGTTAAAAGGTAAGGGATTAAATTGAAAAGTTTTGAATAGTGATGGAAGGAGAAACTGAAAAAATAGTCAAATATTAAAGTAATAAACACATATTTAGCCTAAATTACATGACTAAATTATTTAAACATTGAAAGTTGCTTTTTTTAAAAAAAAAAATCTAAATTATCTCATACCCACTAACAATGGGAAAGTACACTTACATATAGAATCTCTAAACCAGAAATGAACGAACAGAATAAATTCATCTCAGAATTGAAAAGTAGTTGATCCCATTTCTCATGCACTTTCAAACCCAAAGATCCTAAAAATACCTGCAACAAGAAAATAAAGATCAAACTTGTGAAATCTTGTAAGTAAAATTACATTAAATAAAAAAGATAACTTGCCTTCATCAGCCTGATACTTGTTCTTGTCATCCCCAGCATATGCAAGTAAATTGTGTTTTGGATTCCACTCCACGCTGTTCATCGCCGCCCGACAAGGAATCTGATGTACCGTTCTTCCCGTTTGGACATTCGACTGTTTCGTGCGAAACAAAAATGCTACTAATGAACCCGTTTTTGCCAACTACCCATCCACAAATTTAGAAGTCTGAGGGGGAGGGGGAGATTCATAGATTTCAGACATTCAAGAAATGGAGAGCTTACTATATCAATGAACAAGTCCTCGCTGGCAGAAGCAATGTATTTTCCAGTGTAGTTGAAACTTATTGTCCTCACAGGCCATCTGAGGAGAGTATAAGAAGTGACAAGAAAATGTAATTTTCAGCCTACGAAAACGCCCAAGTTTCCAACAGACAAGATATGGACAGAGGCAAGAATTTACTCGAGTTTCGTAAATGTTCGCACGCAGAGCATCTGAGAGATATCCCATAGGCTAACTAAGGAATCAGCACTTCCAACGGCAAAATACCTATATGTAAGAAAGAATCCGTTTATCTTTCCCAATGGCTAATTGCAGAAGTAATTTTCTCAAGAAACGAAGCAAGAAAACAATCAAAAGATCAAAACCAACAGTATTTTTTATCAAAGAAATCATATGCATGACTGCAGATTGCATGCAGGAGTTGTGCACAGTTCTTTAATCATGGAACTCAGAATGATCACTCAAGTTAGGAAGGGAAGTTAACTTTGAAACTTACGCTCCAACTGGGTCAATTGCAATGCAGTAACAACCAGCTGTATGAGCCATAAGAGTTTCAAGTGGTCGAAGCGACGGGTATGCTAGTACTTCAACAGTACCTGAGCACAAAAAAATAGACATGCAATTTTTTTTTTTCCAAAATAGTGAAAAAAGACAATCTACCCAATCATTGCATTAAAAAGAAAGGTAATTGCTGCAGATCATCACCATTTCCAGTTGTCAGGAAAAACATCTCCCCAGTCATGTTCCAAGCAATTTCATTCACCTGGAAGAGATACGCAAAAAGTTGTGTCAACATAATCAAAGTGAAACAAACATGGCCGTGAAAATCAAGCAAATAGAATTAGCAGAAAGGAGGGTTAGATAGTACGGGGTTGATAGAATATAATCCACTAGATTTCAAGAGTATCGAGAATCCACTATTCAAAAGTTCCCTATCTCTCCCCACCCACCAAACTATCACAGTCTAAGCATGTCTTCTCTCTTCACAAAAGACTTAGGTGAGTTGGCATACCTTCTAAGTTAATCGCTTTTAAAAATATATATATTTTTTCTTACAACACTTTCTATAAAATAGTTTTATTTGAAATACTCGTGTGTTTGGTTACATTTTCTTAAATGTGAGTTTAACCACAACT